GACAATACATTACACACACTTAGTACTGCATAGCCCTCAAATTGCCTTTACCTAAATTAATGTGCTTCATTCGTACAACTACCCCATAGGGACTACCAGCTACATCTTTAAACAGACTTTGCTTGAAGTATTACCTACAAACAGAAAAGTAAATAATATAACGTCAAGTTTTCAGGAAGTAAACTGACCCACATAACTATTACCCAGATCAAGAAACAGAATGTAGCAGCACCATGACAGTCTCATCCCTTTACCTAACCACACCTAAAAGGGGTAATCAAAATATATCATGAATTTTGGGGGCTGGGGATTTAGCTCAGCGGCACAGCGCCTGCCTGGCAAGTGCTAGGTTGTGAGTTCAGTTCCCAGTACTGGAAAAAACAAAAACAAAACCAAAAACAAACAAACAAAAAATATATATATATATATCACGAATTTTGAATTAAAACAAATGATTACAGTAAAAGACACATTACCATTAACCTCCCTCAAAAATATTTCTCTTTGCTTCAAGAAACCTTGTCCCATCCCTCTTGGCACCTTCTGAAGCAGTTCTGGAAGCCTCCTTCCTGGCTTATAAAGTGTGATTTAAAAAAACATATATGGTGAATGCTGCTGCCAAGAGCCGTCCAACAAAAAGGCAGGCTTGTAAAATCATGGTGTGACCTCATCCACCGTATCCACCAGATCTGCAACTTCTGGCACACTGCAACTTGTGGCTCTTCCCCCAAGTCAAAATGATCATGAAAGGTAAATTTTTTAATGGATTTAGGACACTGAGGCATCCACAACAGCAACACTAAAGACACTCATGAAAGCGTACTGCCAGAAGTGCTTCAGAAAGTAGAAAGAAGCTAGGAGTGGTGGCACACATCTATAATCCCAGCACTTGGGAGCTGAAGCAAGAGGCTCGCCATCAGTTCTAAGCCAGCCTGGGGTACATAGGGACTTTAAGGCCAGCTTTTACTACGTAAGTGAGACCCTGTCTCAAAAAAAAAAAAAAAAAA